GTAAAGGACAAGTGGCATGTTTTCAATGACTATTGGCTCTCAATCATTAAAATGTCCACGTCAAGAATGTTGTTTTTATGTGGGAAATTTCAACTACGTACTTTTATATGAGAGTAAGTGTCTAATATATATATATTAAGTAAAGGACAAGTGGCATGTTTTCAATGACTATTGGCTCTCAATCATTAAAATGTCCACGTCAAGAATGTTGTTTTTATGTGGGAAATTTCAACTACGTACTTTTATATGAGAGTAAGTGTCTAATATATATATATTAAGTAAAGGACAAGTGGCATGTTTTCAATGACTATTGGCNTATCATCTCATGTCATGCCCCATTAGAAAAATGACAAGCAGAATATTTTAAAATAAGAATGGGCTCATAGAACCAAGTAAAATGCACACGACAAAGAACTTCGTTAACCATGTCTTTTTAGCAAACAGGAAGTATATATATTAAAGGTTAAGAAATATGCAGTACATGACTTTCATAGTTAGTGTCGCATAGAACACTTTGGTTACCTAAGTTTGCTAAATTTTTACAAGCATCATAAGATAGAAATTTTCCAAAAATATATTGTTCTAGTAAGTCACTTTCTACTAGACTTTTTACATCATCTCGTGGTTCCACAAAAACTTTCTCCTTCATGAGATCAGCATTTGCATTCTTTGCCATTTGATGAGCTACCTTATTCCCTTGTCTGAACTCGTGCTGGATGATTACCTTCTTCTGTTGGTGCATTAACAACCTGCAATTGTTGACAATGTTAGAATAAAGTCTATTACGTTGTTAGATTGACAGGATTAGTTCAGTAGAGTCTGTTTCGATTTGGAGAGGGAACATTCCCCAAGTATGAGCTGTTTTAAGTCCTGCTAGTAATGCTTTGAGCTCAGCATGTAGTGAACCACGTGCATGAGCTGGTTTTGCAAAGCCAACTATCCAGTGTCCATTGGCATTTCTTATTACTCCACTCAGCCCACATTTTTGCAAATTTTTGTTGATGTTTGCATCTATGTTTAGTTTGAATCATCCCTTTGAGAGTCTATGCCATTTAATATTGATGTAGATTTTTGGAGAAGTCAGAATACTATTTTCGGTTAAGAGATGAAATTCACTAGCCCTAGCAATGATATGGTTGATATTAATAGGGTTTTTTGTATTGTTTTGGTTACTGTTATTCCTGTTTATCCAAATGTGCCAGATAGCAAATGGAAAAAAGAGATTCCAATTTAAAAAATTATTTTTCATCGGGTAGTCAAAGTTTTTTAGCTGGATTAATCAATGATCACCATGATCCTTATAAAAGTTTTGCCATCCAATTTTGTCCCAAAAATGTTTACTGCCTTGGCAGGTAAAGAAAATGTACGTTATGGATTCTTCTATATGACCTTTACATATAGGGTAGTTTGGATCAATATTTAAATCAATTTTAGTTAGATATTTCATATAGGGAATTGTAATGACCCGACCGGTTGTTTCATGAGTTACCGCTCAATTTTCCCCATTTCTGCTTCTTATTGCTTTATTTATCAGTTCTATGTATGATCGGGCCGGTTGGCTCAAGTTCGGAGAGGTTTTGGTAAGGTTTGAGACACTTATAGCCCGTTTGGCCAAACTGCAAAAATCAGCTTATTTTGAGAAGTGCTTTTCTCAAAAGTATTTTTGGTGAGAAGCAGTTTGTGTTTGGCTAATTAGTTCGAAAAGCACTTCTGAGCAGCAATTAGTATTTGGCCAAGCTTTAAAAAACCGTTTCTAAGTGTATTTTTCTCAAAAGTGCTTCTCAAAAAAGTGCTTTTGGAGAGAAGCTACTTTTTTCTGCTTCTCCAAAACTGCTTCTGCTTCTCCTCAAAAGCACTTTTTTTCCTTCCAGAAGCTTGGCCAAATACCTCAAATTGAGGCCAAAAGTGCTTTTGGCCAAAAAAAACACTTTTGGCCAAAAATAAACTTGGCCAAACAGGCTATTAGTCTTTTTTGAGGAAGCTTAAGTTGGAAAAGTCAACTAAATATTGACTTATGTGTTAAAGAGCTCGGATGTGAGTTTCGATGGATCAGATAGCTTCGGGAGGTGATTTGGGACTTAGGAGCATGATCGGAATGTGTTTTGGAGTTCCGAAGTAGATTTAGGCTTGAATTGGCGAAATTGGAATTTTGGCGTTTTCCGGTTGATATGTGAGATTTGATATAGGGGTCGGAATAGAATTCCGGGAGTTGAAGTAGTTCCGTTGTGTCATTTGTGATGTGTGTGCAAAATTTTAGGTCATTCGGACATGCTTTGGTAGACTTTTTGATCAAAAGCGTAATTTAAAAGATTTTGGAATTTTTAGGCTTGAATCCGATGCGAATTTGGTGTTTTGATGTTGTTTTGAGTTTTTCGAATATTGGAACAAGTTTGAATGATGTTATGGGATATGTTGGCATGTTTGCTTGAGGTCCTGCAAGCCTCAGGTGAGTTTCGGGTGGTTAAACAGACCATTTCAAGTTGTTGAAGATTGCAGAAATCTGTTGTTGGGTGTTGCAGACAATTGGGCTTCGCGTTCGCGAGTAGGCCCTCGTGTTCGCAAAGGGTTAGCAGGTGAGGCTGAAGATTTTCCCTTCGCGTTCGTGAGGGAGGTCCCGCGTTCACGAAGGGCTGGGCCATTGAGCATCGTTTTCGCGAGAAGGGGAGCCGCGTTGGCGAAGGTTGGAGTCAGGAAGAATCGCGTTCGCGAGAGGTCAGCCGCGCTCGCGAAGGAGGAAATGTGGTCAACGTCAGTTTGTGCCATTATCCGCAATTTTGGGGCTAACTTCCACCATTTTTCGGCGATTTTGAAGCTTTTTGAAGAAGATTGAAGAGGGATTCACTGAGGAACACTTGGAGGTAAGATTTATGGACTTAATACTCGATCCTAATGTGAATTCTACCTAATTAATCATGGAATTTAAGCCTAATATTGAAGAACTAGGGCTTGTAATTGGAGACCTAGAATTTGGGATTTGAAGGGTCGTTTGTGGATGGATTTTGATGCTTTTGATATGAATGAACTCAGGGAGTGATAAGGAGTATATTGATGTAAATTTTATCGAATTCCGAGACGTAGGCCCGGGGGCCGGGTTTTGGTCAATTTTGGGATTTGTGTTGTAATTTGATTTCTCTCGAGTGGGCTTTGTTCCCTTAGCGTATTTTGATGGTTTTGCACTGATTTTGGTAAGATTTGGAGCATCCGGAGGCCGATTCGAGAGGCAAAGGCATCGCGAGCTAGAGATTTGGACCAGATAGAGGTGAGTAATGATTGTAAATATTGTCCTGAGGGTATGAAACCCCGAATTACACATCGTTGTGCTATATTAAGGTGACACACATGCTAGATGATGAGCGTGGGGTCGTGCACCGTTGGGGATTGTGACTTAGTCCATCCCGAATGACTGTTTTACCGCGTATTTGATTGAAAACTATTTGCTATCATCATGTTTTAGGTTGAGTGCCATATTTAGGCCTCGTGCCAACTATTTGGATCCTTTGGGGATTTTTACTGATATTACTTCACTATTTTGACTTTTTACTTATACTCAGTCATGCTATATTCTACTGCTTCATAACTCAGCCATGTTTACTCTGTTTAACACATTAAATGATATTTTAAATGATAATTTGGGCTGAGCATCATGTTTTACTATTGTCCGAGTGGCTTATGAGATTCTGACTAAGTAAGGCCGAGGGCCTGTGTTGTGAGGATACACTGATTTATGATTATGAGGCCGAGGGCCTGAGATTGTACGCCACAAGGTGGCTTGTTGATATGAGGCCGAGAGCCTATTGATTATGCCACAAAATGGCTTGATATTGCGCTTGGGCCATAAGGGGCCCCTCCCGGAGTCTGTACACCCCCAGTGAGCGCGGGTACCCATTGTAATATGAGATATAGCCCGAGGGGCTGGTATTGTTCCATGATATTGCCCGAGGGGAGGATTCTGTTGACATTGTGTTCGAGGGGCGGATTTTATGTGTTTATCTGTTCTAACTACTTTTCATTTAATTGTTTAACTGTAAAAATTGTGTTTTAAAGAAGCTTCTTCTGAATTAAGGTGTCTTTATATGTTTCACTATTTCATTGCTTTTACTAGTTTTATACTGCTTTTTTATAGCATGTTGATGTGCTTTTACGTGATTTCTTAACGCTCAGTCTTCATTTATTATTATTAATCACCGAGTTGGACTACTCACTTTACCTTATGGACCCTGTGTGCAGATTCAGGCGCTTCGGGTCCTGCTTGTAAGGGTTGAGAGCTTCCAACAGATTTCAGAGATTCACTAGGTAGCTGCTCGGCGTTCGCAGCCCAGTCTTTCTCCCCTATCTTATTTACTCTGTTTTAGTTCGGTAACAGACTATGTAGACTTTTCCTGTCTTTAATCGGATAGCAAATGCTCATGACTGGTGGTGTAAACATGTGATTTTTGACCCTCCCCAAGATTTTTTATATTTTAGCATGTAAATATTTAATTTAGGCCTAATATCGCTATTTCAACTAATTCTGACTCTTTTACTTCATTTTATTACAAGAAAATAAAAATTACAAAAAATAATAAATATAAAAAATATAAAAAATATTTTATTTTTTGTACCTTTCATAAAATAAAAAAAATACAAAAATAGTACCTTGTTTTTATATTTATATAATCTTGAAAAATACGAAAAATATGTAATAGTTTCATGTTTTAATATAGTTTAGTTTAATTAATTAGAATTTATTTTTGCATCATGTAGTATAGTTATCGTATATTTAGGGAATTTAGCTATGGTTTTAAATAATAATTTTTGGAGTCTTCTTAGCCCAAAATTTAGACACAAAAAGACATGATCCAACCCAATTACCCTTAGCATATTCTTCCCAACCCATTAGCTCATTTAAGTGCAAGATTTAATCCTAGCCATCTATTTTCTTCTAATCCAATGGCTATCATCCTTTCCCACTTTTTTTATAAAATACCCAATTATAAAAACCATACCCTTAAGATTTCAATTCCTAAAAACCTAGACCCTAAGAACGGCAGCCATCTCCCCAGGTTTGAAAAAAAAGGATCGATCATTTTTCTTGGTTCTTTCAATTGAAAAAGAAAGGTATGCTACAGCGAAAGAGAGTGATCCGCCGCAAAAGACAAGAGGAGACCTTCCCCTCCTCTGATTTTTTCGATCTTCTTCACCAAAATTAACAGCGGCTAAAAAAGCCATCTAACATTTTCTTCTTCTCCGTTCGAAAAAACAAGATAAATCTCACTCCCTCTCCCTCTCCGTCTTCTTTCTTCTCAAATACAAAAAAAAAACTCACAACCAAAGTAGCTGAAAGCTTTCTGGGTTCAATTTTGGATTGCAGATCTAGAAAAAAAGGTTTCAGACCTTTATTTGGTCTGGCGTAGCTAATCTTCCTTACAAATAGCTGTTGAAATTTGGGAATTATCGTTGTTGTTGCTGAATCTGCTACTTTGTCCAGTAGTTGAGTTCCGACGTTATATCCGCTTTTTCAGCCTTTGTTTTGGCTTTCAAGTTTTATTTGTGCTCAGGTATGAATCTCGATTCAAAAGTGTTGTAATTGTTGTTAGAGGCTTCGTTGAACTGAAATTTGCACCGTTAATTCCTTCGTTTTTTTTCTCTTAAGTTCATCACGGCTAAGTGCAAGCTTGGATCATTGTTTTGGATGAAATTTGCCACAAACGTTTCTTTCCTTTCTCTGAAGAGTTTAGCATTGTTTAGTGCAAGTGAATGTATATTTTGTATGATTTTTGGTTTTAATTAGCCCATAATATCGTCACCTATGCTAGTGGTAGAGGTACAAAGTCTGTTGGTGATTTTTGGTTTTCAAATTTGTATGAAGATCAGTAGCTCTGTCCTAATTTTCTTTGAATTTGGATTTGTTTATGAGCACGCAATTCGGCTAGGGCACGACAAATTTAAATTGGACCTTTGTTGGCTTTATTCTTCAATTCCTTGGCTACTGATTTTGTAATAGCTAGTAATTCGACTAAGGAAATGGGCTTATATCTCTTGCTGCCATCATTGGAGTTGAATTCCAGTTTTAAAGCATTATGATGAGTTCAGGACAATTGTTTACTAGATTTCAAATGAGATGTGATAATAAGCTTAATAACCGAATGGCACTAAAACGTGAAACACGTTGCCATGAAATTGGAATGCCTTGAAGCTAGTCAGAAATTGTCTGGAAAATATTACTTTGGCCATGTAATTAGAAATTTTCTTATGCTTAAATGCTTAGCTGCTATAAATGAATAATTGTTTACATGATAGGTTTAATAGGTTGAATCGCTGTATTTGTGGATCTGCAATTTAAAATTCTTTGTCTTTGATTAATCGAAACCATGTTTTATTTGGAAAATGACCTCGGGTGGGATAATCTGTTCTTGTTTAGACCCAGGGTAATTGCTAAGTTATTTTGTACCTTGTAAATGAATAGATAAGGATCACTCATGAACATCGTAACTTGCTTTAGATGCGATTAATAATAAATTGTCATAGCTACGGGTACGGCTCCCGTGACGTGGTCATGATATCTAATTTCTAAAAAATTCGGGGTATATTTATATGACCCGGCTATAATTTAATTTTGTTAATAGAATAAACCATCGTGATTGTGGATACGGTTCCCGTGACATAGTTACGATGCCTAATTTCCAAATTTGGGTGTGCATTTATGTGACTCAAATCCAAATCTCAACAACGTTAGATAAAATGTGTCGTAGGATTGCGGGCGCATTTATGTGACGTGGTTCAAGACATGTTTTAGATGACGTTGAATCTTTTTCTAAAAAATTAATTAAAAGCGGTTAATAATTTAAAATTATATCATAGGCTAAAACATGTATTAAAATCAGATAATAGGCCAATTATAACAGTTGAGCTACCATGCTAGAATCACGGAACTCGGGAATGCCTAACACCTTCTCCCGGGTTAACAGAATTCCTTACCCAGATTTCTGTGTTCGCGGACTGTAAAACAGAGTCAATCTTTCCTCGATTCGGAATTTGAACCGGTGACTTGGGATACCATAAATCATCCCAAGTGGTGACTCTGAATAAATAGAATAATCCCATTTCGATTGTCACTTTAATTGGAAAAACTCTTGTATACCCCTTTCCGGGGGTGTAGGTAAAAAGGAGGTGTGACAGCTCTGGCGACTCTGCTGGGGACAAGAACCCAGAACTTCTGGTTTAGGGTTCAAGAATTCGAGCTTAGAATAATTGTTATAATTGGCTTTATTTATTATCTGATTTTATTGCATGTTTGAGCCTAATATGCTAAATTCCGCTTTTTACCGCTTTGATATTATTTGAACTGTATATAAACTATTGCGAAACCCTTCCCTTCTCATCTTCGGGGATGTGCATGCTGGCGTGACTCCTGTGGTGTCATACCTTGAAATAAGAAAGAGGCTTGGACAAGTTATAAAGCCGGATGGCCTTTTGGTTCTCGGTACGTAGGCCCCTCCTCGGCTCGAGTTGTTCGCTCGGGTACATAAGTCTAGAATAATATACCCAGGTTTTTAGCTTAGAATAACTCAGCCTCATGCCGGATCCCTAGTAGGATTGTTTGTTTGTATCATGTGCATTTGACTTTGGGGACTCAACACAAGGGTTGGGTCCGTCTAGGACAGGTGTACCCAAATTAAAAGACCATCTTGATGCATCTTACGTGCTACTTGCGTATCTGTCTATTTTGGCTTGCATGTTGACTTGCTTCTAGAATAGAGAAAGAAAATGAAAAAAAAAATAAAAAAAGGAGAAAGAAGAAAAAGAAACAAAAAGTCAGAGGTAGATATTTAGAAAATTCTGAAATTCTGCCAAAATTCTGGGGAAAAAAGTCATTTCAAAACGAGCCAAAATTTTCAAGTGCCATGTTTTCCTATTCCGTCAAAACTGTGCAGAACTATGCGGGTCTGATTCTCACTGGATGTGAGATACGTAGGTAAACCTCATCGGTTCTGGCCCCTAATTTTCAAAAATCCAAAAAAAATCTCTTACTTCCTTCTTTAGAAAAATTTTTCTTTGAGAACCCAACTTTTAGAAATACAAAAAATATTTTCTTTTAATTGCTTCTCAAATTCAAAAATACAAAAATATTTTCATTCTTCTTTCGAAAATTGAAAAGAAAATTCAAGATTCAAAAAAACTTTCTCTCTCTTTAGAAGTACTTCTTTCCTAACTTCAGAATAAAAATCCATAAATGCAAAAATATTTTTCTTTCTTCTTTAGAAGTTTTTCTATCGAAATTCCAAAAAAAGAAACAATAAAAGTCGAAATTCAAAAAAAAAAAGGAAAAAAAATCTTTCTTCTTTAGAAGTCTTTCTTTGCAAAAATGCTGAAGAAAAATCAAAATCCAAAAAATATTTTCTTTCTTCTTTATATGTCTTTCTTTCGAAAAGTTCAAAATCCAAAAAAAAGTTTGTTTATTTAATTTATTCCTGTTCTTCCCGAACTACGCAAGATCTGATTCATGTTTCCACATGATACGTAGGCAACCCACATCAGATTCGATCACCATTAAAAAGAAATGAAAAAAATGAAAAAATGTTGATAATAATAAGGACCGACTGAATCCATTCTAACATGTTTTGTTTTGAATTGTGAAGAAAGTTGAGATGATCGGTTTGTGGTAAGCTGGAAACACAAGATCCAAGGAAAAATGATAACTGATATCGAAGCTGTTACAAGTGCTCAAGAGACTCAGGGTCAAAGAGTTCAACAAGAGTCTACTGTGTTTGAGAAAAATAGAATACTGAAACAGCAAATGACCGAAATGTGTCAAGCATGGGCCAGTGGTCAAGGACAGCCTCGTCATGAGTCACAATTTGCTACACAACAAGAGCAATACCACTCTCTTGAGTACCACTCGTACTCGTTTGATCTTCCTGCAAACATTGAGAAGCCTGCCCGAAAGATGGTACAGGAAGAAATGACCCAAAGAGTGAAAAGCTTAGAACAACGGTTGAAAAACATGCAAGGGTTGGCAGGTCAAAAGAGTGTTGCTTTCAAAGATCTATGCATGTTCCCTGATGTCCATTTGTCTCCTGGTTTCAAGACTCCCAAATTTGAAAAGTATGATGGACATGGAGATCTCATAGCCCACCTGAAAAGGCATTGCAATCAACTGAGAGGTGCAGGAAGAAACGAAGAATTGCTGATGGCTTATTTTGGAAAAAGCCTTACGGGAGTAGCATCCAAATGGTTTTTGGATCAAGACACATCTCGCTGGTACGTCTGGAATGACATGGCACAGGCCTTTGTCAATCAGTTCCAATACAACATCGACATTGCCCCAGACCGCATTTCCCTTTCAAACCTGAAGAAGAAACCAAGTGAAAGTTTCAGGGAATATGCCATTAAATGGAAAGAGCAAGCAGCTCGAGTTAAGCCACCCATGGATGACCACGAGCTAATCACTGTCTTCCTTCAAGCGCAAGAGCCAGATTACTTTCAAAACATGATGTCCGCAGTTGGCAAATCCTTCTCGGAAGCAATCAAAATGGGAGAAATGGTAGAGAATGGTCTTAAGACAGGCAAAATTATAAGTCAAGCAGTTTTTAAAGCCGCAACTCAGGCTGTCCGGGTTGAATCTGATAATTTTAGCGACACAAATGAGAAGGTTGAAGAAATCATGATGACATCAGGGTCGAGAAGAGGTCCCAGAAGAACATCTTGAAGGTATGAGCAGCCTCCTCAAGTTTTCCATGACTCCCGTGAGCAGTATTATCCACCTCAGAACCCTCAATACTCTGTCGCTCCACCTCAGTATGTTGTCCAGCCACCAAAACACCCCAGAAGGCGAGCACGAGCATCACGAAATCTCCAACAGCCTCCACAAAATTTCAGGTGCCCTATAACCCACATCCAAGCCAGAGGTATAAAGGGGAACAAAGGTTGAAAGATAATTTTACACCAATAGAAGAGTCCTATGCAAGCTTATTTGAGAAATTAAAGCATTATGACATGATTGCACCTATTCTTCCAAATCATGTGGACCCACGTGCGAGAAGCTTTGACCCTTCTAAAAGGTGTGAATACCATTCCAATGCCCAGGGGCACAATGTGGAAAGCTATCGGGATTTGAAAAGAGAAATAGAAAGGATGATCCAGGAAAACCTGATTGTGATCCAAGGCAGTGACATTCAGAATATCGCGCAGAATCCTTTACCTGCACATCATGATACACACTTTGTGGGGATGATGCCTGGTGACATGGAGTATGAGAATCCTCTCAAGAACTTGCTAACTGAAGATAATGATGTTGAAATTGGAGAAGACTCTGCTGATTCTGATGAACAAATTTGTGGCTAAATGCCAAGCCTAGCAATTGAAAAGTCATTCTCTCCTCACTATGAAGGAATCTCGGTAGCTTGTTTTGATATTTTTTTTTCTATTATCGGGTTATTTCAGGGTTGTGATCCAGATTTTATTTGTTTTATTGAGTCAAACCCTTCTATCCCTCCATTATGTTTGTGTGAGTCTTGTCTGTCTGTTCTGTTGCTATTTTCATTATTCCGGTTATTTTAGGGTTGTAACTCGTATTTTAGGTTGTTTGTTTAGTTGTAAAACCCTTTCATCTTTTACTCAATAAAATACAGTTTGTCCTTTGTGTCATTCTGTTCCTAGTTCTTTTCTCGCTAGTTCTAATGACATGACATGCATGCGGAAATTTTGGTCAGATCTTAGGAACTGATTTAATTTGGAATTCGATAACTAAAAAAAATACTTTTGAGGATGAATAAAGAGTTGGAATACTTTGGAACTAAGGTCGAGTAAAATTCACCTTCAAATCATTGTGAAGATCGGGCTTGAGGATGTTTAATCAATTGAAGTTTGTTGGAAAGTTTGTCACTAAGGGATGAAAAAATGTCTTGTGACCACAACACACCAAGAAGACAGACATGTTCGTCAATGCTGTGATCGCGAAAAGATACCATGTTTGACGTTCTTGAGGTTGGGAGACCCTTTTTCTGCTACCCAAACACTTTATATTCTTTGCTACCCCTTTTGAGTCT